GTCCTGACATGACACCGATTTTGTGTCCTTGGGAAAGGCACTTTATACGACTTTCCTCACTTCGCTCAGGTGAAAATGAGTATTGTATGATCCCCTGTGTTGGTAGCGGCATTAATATAAGTTGAAAAAAAACTTGAGTGTGCCGTCACCACGTCTTGTGATTAGATGTTGGACTAGAGTTCCACGATCTCATACCTTCGCCAAATGAGGTTAGCCTTTATGGCTAAGAAATTATAGATTAATTACTGATTGTGCAAATGGGATCCTATATTGCATCAATTATATCTGTAGATCATATTCTACACCAGAAGACAGTCTTATCTTATCAAAGAATGCCATTATAGTATTTCCTCATAAATTATGCAAATGAGGTCCTTATTTGAATAAGTTATGTTTAATTATGTTCACCTTTACATAACTTTCAAATATCCCAAGTATGAAATTCCAGGCAGTTACCACTATGTAATTATAACATTTTCTCATTAATTATGCAAATTAAGTCCTCATTTGCATAATTGATATCTGCCTGTATTTCTGCCGTTCTCAATTACGTATGACACATGCTTGAATAGTCCTATCATGGAATGCAGCTGATTAATAGACTTTCCTCATTAATTATGCAAATTACATTAATATTTGCATCATTGTAATATCATTATGTCAAGCATCACTTCAGCTACCTACATGCCAAAAATCACGACGATCCATCCACCGGTTCTTGAGTTATCAGCCTTTAAACATTTTTCAACTAACGCCCCTGCAGTTCCAGAGCAAGCAGCTAGGGGGCCCAAACGCACGTCACTTCTTCCCCAGCACGTGAGCTACCTGCCATCCAAATTTCGTCACCTAGCATGTCTGGATCATGAGATATCAAAACCGGAAGTTCAGCTGCAGTACCATAACAAGCCGCCAGGGGGCCCAAAATCTAATCAGTTCGAGCTCTCATCAAGACCTATCGACCTACCAAATATCAAGATAATCCATCTAAGCTTTCTTGAGTTATGCTGTTGACACAAAGACACAAAGACACACACTCAGACAGACACACGGCCAGGAAAACATACTGACCTTCTCCAATTCTTGGCGAAGGTAAATATATAAAAAAGTGACCTCTTCAAGACGTCAACCCTAAAACCAGACTGTAAGGTTTGAACCACTCAAACCGGGAAAGACCCCTGCTCTTTTCGATCGGTGTAGTTGGATCTCAAACACGGGAACCCTGGCGCTATGTCCTACCAAGGCACAAGCTAGATACTCCGTCACACCTGAGTCAAGTGGGCATTAGGAGTGCGTTGAACCTTCAGAACCCTCAGAAGTCAACAGCCCTAACCACAAGTATACCTTGCCACCAGACCTGATCTTTGTATTTGTATCTGTATCTGTATAGCCGGTATAACCGTCTTTCGACGTAACATACCAGCTTCGCAGGCACGTGGCGCGGTGGCAGCTGGCTACATCACACCGACTTGTTACACCTAACCCTTGAACATTTAACTCTAGACATTGTTTAAAGCTATCTAATGACAATGCCCCTAGGCCCTACTGTACTTGGTGACAGCGAGCTTGCCACTCTGCAATAGATCTAGGAAATGGGGGTAATTCCACCAGGCCGTCTATGTTGTCTATATGCAATCAGAAAATAGCACATAAAAGATCCAAAAGACCCTGAA